AATTGTGCTATCACCCCAAGCCTAAGGCTATGGAAATGATTTACCATATGGGTAAGGAACAGATCCAGAGTTCTCTGATTGGCTCTGTGGGTAGTTCAGGGAATGAAGAAGAGACACTTTCTCAGGGCCATTAAAGAGAGGGGTAACTGATTTCCAAAAACAAAATCTTCCCCTCTTCCCCAGGAAGATAGCCAGCATCTGATCTCTTATATCAGAGCCCAAAAGAGCATTTTCTTCCTCTTCCAACTCATCTCTTTTTCCACAATGGAATAAGTCCTGCTGTTAAAAAGATTAATTGTGAATAATCACAAATTATCACAGGAAACAAAAAAACAAAATGACAAAATTCCATTTCACCTTTTCTTCTGTGTCTACTTGAAGCAGGCAGTGGAAACACAATCAAATCTCTTCTCACAGATACAATTATAAGTTTTAAAGCAATAAGTATTTTCTATTCTTGTTGCGCTTAAAAATGCACATTCTTCTTTCCCATAAGGCAAAGTCGTTATTGGAGAATTACTGTAGAACAGAAAACACATATGGTCCACTGTTGAATTATTAAGCTTACAATAACATAAATCATCATCTTTTTAAGTGTGTTGCCTAAAGATCTGGAATATGGAAATGTTAATCATGACTTCATCACTAAAAGACTTTCCTTTGTTCTTAGCCTGTTAAATAGAATAACAGCCTCTTGATCACACCCACAATCTTCCATCTTATTCCACACTGGGAATTTTTGGTCAGGAGGCAAAATCACCTTGCAGTATTGCTGAGGGATCATGATATATAGCAAACCCGCTTTCTTATGTTAATTTTTTTCAGTGAAAGTGAGAGATTAAAAAGGAGAAGAACTGAATTTCTGTGACAGAGATAACGAGGTCTCATGTGCATATACCTTAAAGAGAAAAAGCAGAATTGGAATATACCCAGAGATGACGTTGTTTAATTGAAGTTTTTATTTGTTTTGTTTCTTTTCCTTCCCTACCACATATCTAATAATTATTATTATTATTTCATGGCAATCCATTGAAAGATATCTAAAAGGAAGACTTCTGCTTCAGCAAAGTGGTGGATTAGATACCAGAATTATCTTACTGTTGAAACAGTAAAATGATGGATAAAGAAAAATTTAAATGTGCTTCAACAAATTTATGGACTGGAAAGAAACAAATTCATACTCAGGCTGAGGGTTAAGTAAAGGTGGGAAAGCGGACGGATAATTGAGGCTCTGAAGTCAGTTTTTCCCTTAATTGATGTAGTAGGCTGAATAATGAATTCCACCCAAGATTCTAAATAGAAGACAAGCCATAAAGAGTTGAAATCCCAAAGGAATATATCTTCACTTTAAACCACCCAAGAATTGTCTTTGAACCTTGCACTTAAGCAGAGGAGAAAAAGAATAATGCTACCTAAGAGTTCAAAAGCTTAAACCATCTTTCATATAATTTGCATTTGCTGTATTATTTAAGAATATTCAGATCTGCTATAGAAATGAAGAGAAACAAACAAGGAAGATAAATGAAACTAAGTAGCTTGTAAGCCATAGGCGGAACACATACGATGTATTAAGTGTGTATAAGTAAGTTGGTAACCTATGAGACATGTTAAGTATAGATAGAGAAAGTAGAGCATCTGTGTGGGAAAAAATAGGAAAGGATGAAAGAACCAAGTAGACACTAAATATAATACTCCAAAGATACATGATGCACATAGATATTCAACGTTCAAGGTGTCAAGTTCCCCACCCATTGGTGAAACTCTTTCTGGCACTCTGCCTAAGAAACTCAAATAAAATCCATAGCTGCTCGTAAGGTTAATTAGAAAGCTGCAG